TGAATGCCTGTGATTCAGCCGTAGGTCAGTAGGGGGCGAACGCAGGCATTGAAGAACCTGTATAAACTGATGAACTTCCTGGTTTTTGGGTAGTGTGGTTTCCTTGTCAGCTCCGGTGGCAATAAAACTCACTCAGATCCAGAATTCTGGTGTTGTATGGTTTGAGTCCTTCTATAAATCATTTTATTTAACAATGGTGGTTTTAATATCGACTTCAGTTTTTTTTCTTACAGTTTCATCATAACCATCTGGATACGGTCATCTTTTTTTTCAGCAAAAACATAAAATAGGCAACAGTTCCATATGATAATGTGACAACCAAGATTAGCACTTGTTAAAACGTGTTTTTGTTTGTTTGTTGACGCTGATTGTGCCACTAGCCCCACATGAACAAAGAACTAAGTAAGCATGTGTTAAAAAACACTATTTGATGTAAGTTTGGAGCGGTTGCTGGTAGCTGGACATGGGTGGGAGCCAAAGATTTGATTTATAATTTAAAAATTGTGTTTTTGCCCCTTATGCATATTCTGAATAACAATTTAGCAGCAAAATTTAGACTAGACTTTTTACCAGGTATGTAATAACTCCTTGTTTAAAAAGCTTCAGTCCCAGTTTAAGCGAATTATTTACAGTCATTTATTTTCAGCTCCACATCCGCTGAGTTTTCTCAGCTTCCTGTGTGTTGCTGCCTCTGTTCGTGCTTTCTTAACAGTTCGTCAGAGTCGTTTTGACAGCCACCGGAGAACGTGCCTGAACTTGTTCCCCTCAGCTGTGGGCTGTGGCGTAGGAGAGAACAACAGAGGAACACTGACAGAAAATTCAACTGGAACAACAACAGAGAGATTTTCTTTGTGCCTCTAATAAAGAAAGCACACAGGCAGACCGTGGCCTGTGGCTGAACTCCTTTGTGTGCCACTGACGCTATTGTTTTAGGAGGAAAATATGCTTCTGCTTGTTTTCTGAAAGACAAATTCATCACTGCAAGCTGCCTCCTGCTTTTTCTCTGCTCTGAGTTCAGCCAGTGTTGGGAAAAAAAAATAGCTGAGGCAGCAAAATTTGTGGAATTTATTAAGCATGCTGTTTTTCGGCGGGCAATAACGTTGTTGCTTGTGCGTTTGCATGCTTTGTTTGTTTGTTAAGCTGTGGTGTTAGCAAAATACCCCAAGGTCGCTGGTTCGATCCCCCGTCCAGCCGTCTCAGTCGTTGTGTCCTTGGGCAAGACACTTCACCCACCTTGCCTACTGATGGTGGTCAGAGGGTCCGGTGGCGCCGATGCATGGCAGCCCCACCTCTGTCAGCGTGCCCCAAGGCAGCTGTGGCTACAGTGTAGTTTCCCATCATCAGTGTGTGAATGTGAGTGTGAATGGGTGAATGTCTGTTAGTGTAAAGCGCTTTGGGGGTCCGGAGGGACTTGAAAAGCGCTCTATAAGTTCAGTACCATTTACCATTTACCATTTACCATGAACCACTGGATGGATAATAGCGTAACAATCAGAAAGTATTCACTGGATGCACATCTACACCTGATTACCTTTTAGAGGAAACATTCAAGATGGCCGCTCCAGCTAACTGACATTAAACACAAAAACAATCACAACTAAAACAAATGTACAAATATTAGGCAAAAAATGTGGTGTGGTAGTAGCTGAGAGTCATACCAGCATATAATTCCAGTGCTACCCATTGCATGAAATACTTGCCGAAAACTTTGCCATCCCTGTTTGTCTGTTAGCGAAATAACTCATGAATCACTGAATGGATTTTAACGAAGATCTCAGAAAAGAACCAATAGATGAACATCTACAGCTGATTAACCTTTGGAGTCAATCGAATTTAATAAGGCTGTTGCACAAACTGACCTTCAAGAACACAGAAATGGTGATAAGCTGTTTAATTTTACAGCTGTTAAGCTGAAATGTTGTGTATTAGTACCTAACAGTGGTCTTCAACAAATATTCTAACGACTACACATTGCATAAGAGTTTTGCTTAAAAATTGGGCATTAACTGTTGGGAGTAACCTTGCTTGTCTGTTAGCAAAATGTTTCATCAACTACAAGATGGATGTTAATGTAATTCTCAGAAAAGAGCCAAGAGATGGGCGTCAACGACTGATTCACTTTTGGAATTAATTCAATTCAATATGGCCCCCACAGCTAATCAAAGCTATCAAACACAAAAATAGCTATAACTCAATTATCCTGTGTCTGTATATTCCATGTTTTCAGTTCTGCCACTGACCTCTCGAAGGCGATGTTCCGGGTGTCCAGCTGGGTGGTCACCACCGGGGCAGACAGCCTGGCGGCGACCTGCTCGTTGCTGGGCTGCGTCGCCCCCAGAAGACCCAACCCAGGGGCGGCGCCAGCGCTGGCGCCGGCCCGCCACTTTCCAGGTGAGAGCGCCGTCAGCGACGAGACGCACAGGGTCTCACGGAACACCAGCTGCCTGTCATGGTCGACCTCCATCACCTCGGCACTGGAGTCTGACAGACGAGGAGGAGAAAATAAGGAAAAGCAATTTCAGTGGTAAAAAAAGAAGCAAAGTGCACATGTGCATAATGCAACAAGCCTTCAACGAGCTGGAGGGATTAGAAATGATGTCAACAGACTGCACATAAAGTTTCAGGCTGATGACAAAAAAGAACAGTTAAAACATCCATATGGGCAGTCAAGTGTACAAACATTAAGAGAAGAACATAGTGCAAAAGCCAGGGAATACATCAGATATTACAAGAATTTTTTTTTTAATGTTAACAAGAATTGGCACAAATAACTGACATGGTTTTCTTCAGACATCTGGCGTGCCAGCAGGGAAAGAAACGAGAGGACTTGGTGACAATCACTGTTTCAGATCCTGCAAATCTGGGCTTAGAAAAGGAGCAGTCCCAATGTTTTTGGAAATAAACTTGTTTGCTCTCTTACAAAAGAGTCATGTACAGAGATGTGAGATACACAGCTTTTTGTAGGTGATTTTGATCATTAGAGATGTATGATGTAAGGGCTGTAAAGAGATTTTTCTACACAAAAATGACTAAAAACTATTCACATATATTGAGCGAGAATTTGGTGTGGTAGTAGCTGACAGTCATTCAAAATACATCCTTTAATTTAGGTATCAGTTTACCAATACCAGTTTTTCTCAAATCTAGTACAAGTACTTCAGTTTGGTACTCGTCGAAACCAATACAGAGTACTTTCTGAGTTAGAAGCTAAACATTACAAAGTGACTTTAAAAACACATTTATTTTGTTTAGAAAAAAGTTGCTCTCCTTTATAGAACTACAGCCCCTCTGATTGGTTCAAATAAAATATACAGCAGGGCTATTCAACTAAACTGCTCTGGGGGCCACAGTTACTGCCGGTCAACAGCTGAGGGACCGAACATCCAGCAATGAAAGTTATGTAAATAAACCAAGTATTACAAAGATCTGTTACCTTTGAATTAGTTTATTTTGCCGCATTTAATCATGAATACAACATACAGAACACTATAAAAGTAGTGATAATTAAACATCAAAAACAAAAAGAACACATTATGCCTCCTGTTTGACACAAATATTATTTTGACATATCTGACTTGCCAAAATTTTAAACCAATTTTATTTTCACTTTCATTATTTTATCTTCAACTGCTTGTAGTTTTAACTGTCTTAAGTGTTTATAGAAATGGTTTTTGCCAGCTTGTAGCCAAGATTCGGACGTTTCTGTTGATACCAAACAGGTCTATGTTTAACTAAAAGAACTTAGACTAATTAAAGTAGAAAACTGGGGGTTTGGGCTTAAGAGATGAATTAACCAATTGGCGGGCCGAACTTTGGTCACTCACGGGCCGGATGTGGCCCGCGGGCCGCCAGTTGAATAGCCCTGATATGCAGCATGATATATACTGTTGCAATATTTTAAAATAAATAAAAATAACAAGATTTCCTTTAACTTGATTAACTTTCTTAAACATCAAACTGCTAAACTTTTCAGTTGAAATGTAAACTGCAACACATTCAATGATGTCTTGATACCAGCATCCCAGTAATCGGGGCATTTTGTACGAGTTCTTGTAAAAGTACTGGTTTCAGGCCCGAACTCTTCTGGGACACTGCTACTTTAACTGCTAATAGATCATGTGAGGTATCACAATAAAGTACAAGAGCACAAAGTACATGAAACTACTCTGACTTGAAATATGAAAGGCAGTATTAATACAATAGTACTAGCAGTAGTACTATTACTTTTTTTAAATCATTTTGGGAAGAACTTTTTCTTTTAAAAGTTATTGCAAGATCAGTTTGAATTCACACAATATAGGCTTAGCAACTGGGTGAAACAAAAAAAATTGTTCCATACGAACATATTTTGTGTTAATTGGGCCAAAAATAGAATGAAAATGATGAGACCAGATTTAGATTAGTAAAGCTGACAAAACATTTATTTAGTTCACACTGAGCTAAACTGAGAACCAGCAGCAAGAAGAGAATTGAATAAATCATAAATGATCAAACCAAAAACTAAAAATGTTACTTTGAAACATCAGTTAATAATTTTGAAATAAATTAGATTTCTTTTAAACTTTATTATAAACAATGTTGGACTTTGTGCTTCACTGCATGAAGTGATTTTACAAATTGTGTTGAGTTTCTCATTCCAACTTTTCTGGTGAAATAAAATAACAAATTCAAGTAATTCTTTAAAATGTGGTTTCCCTTCGAGCAAAGAGCTGTGGGTCTACCTCAGTCCAAGTGGGTATTTTTGGACCTGTTACATGTGGTTTGGTTAGGTTTAACACAACATGAGTAATTCCAACCACATCTGACATGAGAGAAACTCCTGCTTTGGCTGAAAAACCATCTTCAGCAGAGAGTCTCTCATTTTTTATCCGTCTTGCGTTCCGCTTTTAACGTCAATATTTATTCAGGTTTTATTTTATTTTATTTTATTTTTTGTGACGCGCCCCTTCACAAAGACTTTACCTTGTCCCCTGAGTATGAAGCTTCTGCTGCCTCTCTGCCAGGTCATGTGTTCAAATCCCATCAGGGTGGTGTCCACACGGAGACACTGTCCACTTTTCCAAACTCTGTAGGTGTCACTGGGGCAGATCCGAGACACCAGGGGGACTAAGAAGACATACAGAGACACAGTCTGAATTAAATGACTTGGTTTCAAACGGATCTGCAGGATTAACGTTAAGACCTCACATGGTTGTGACTGCTGGAGGCTAGCTGGTGCACCTTTAGAGGTGCGTGGAGGTCAAATTTACTTTTAGATGCATAAGATTCTAAACTGATATTTAAATGTCAAAAACTGTTCAAGGAACACAAAAAAGGTAGAAGTCAGAAGTGTGGAAGTGCAGAACCAGGACATTGACACGTGCACACGATGGCAGGATGAGATATTCGACTAGAAGTGCATTAATTGACTTTATACGAATACTTTGATTTAAAACTATCTAAAGGTCACAGGTGAGGACTCAAGATAACCAACATGCATCACAAATCATTTTATCATCAGACTGCAGCTGTTTGAACATAATCAAATTGTGAGGGGACAAAAGATTCCCAACGCTTCGAGCAAAAAAACCCTCCTGCAAATCCCCCAACCCACGTGGAATTTAGGAAGCTATCAGGGTTCATAATCTAATAAGCCTTTTTAAACTCATATGACTCTGCTGATGTTAAACAGACAGCAAAAACCATCACCATATAACACAACTAGACACAGGACCAGGGGTCGGATTTATAAAACTGGCGTACGCACAATTTGAGCCCAGAAACTTGC